CTAGCCATGGCAATGGGCCCTGTGCCTGCCTTGGTACTGGAGGCAGGGTGCCAAACCCAATAGGAACCTCAGAGGCATGCAGAAGCCATTGCTTCACAAAGCATCCCTGATGCCCAAATGAATGAGTTTTGAACATGGGGACATGGTAAGCCCTAGAGGTCAATTTCCTTTCTACTTTTCAGCTCCTTCATCTTATATGTATCTTCTTTAGCCTACCCTAGCCCTTGTCCCCAAAAAAGATATTGCATGCTTTTGATAATACTATGGTTACCACTTTGACATATATGAAACTCAGGTTATTCTCTTGAGGTCACACAGATCTGATGCCGAATCCTGCTCTTCCCATCTCCACTGCCTGGATTAGCTCCCATTCAGCCATGTGTGCTGGGCTCAGTTTCTGAAATTGCTGGTGAAATCTGCTAAGGAGAATCAGGATGAAACTGAATGGCAACAGTTGATTGAAAATCCCAAGATAAAGTGGTAACAGGATTTGTCCCCAGAGAAGGGAAGTTTTTTCAGGAAGGAGACGTTTCATATTTTATACCATATGCTTACTTTAATACAAAAGTGAATTTTAAAGTATTTAAATGTTCAACAAAATTATTAAAACGAACGAGTAGGAAGAGTTTTAAGAAAGGGGTAGGAGAAGGCCCCCATCCAAACCCTTCTTGTGAATAACATGGGAGTGGTTGACATACACCTGGCATTAGAGGACCTATCCATGAGGCCTCCATTCCACACAGTGGACATCTTCCACTCTGACCACCACTATCCAAAAGTCAATGAGACAGAGATAAGCTACAGACAAGGCAAGCAGAAATGAGGTTGGAGAGTGCATTAGTGCCTCTGGTCAACAGGCTCGTGCAAAAGCCCTGTCCAGCCCTCTGCTCAGAGAAGGTTGTATTTCAAACGTATTTACTGTCCCCAGAAGCAGCATGAAGCCATGGAAAGACCCCCAGAAAGTCCTTTTGCAAGAACCTCCAGACCCACAGTTCCGAGTTGGGAGTTCATGCATTTGTGCCTTCTACCAGCCTTAGGGAGCCTGCCTGGCACTGTGCACTAAAGTGCCTTTTCGACCAGTGAGATCAGGACTTGTCTTAACTGCTTGGGGCGGGCTGAGAAGGCTTCACAGAGGGGAAATGCTAGGAACTGAGTTTCCTGAGTTAGAGTTTGCCAGGCAGACCTGGAGGGGAGGAAACACCAGGAGAAATAGACTGCAGCAGTAGTTTCAGTGAGAAAAACAGGCTTGAATCAAGGCAACCCCATCCAGAGACGTGTACCAGAGAGATTAGGAGATTGACTTTCCATCTTAGTCACCTACGTGGTTCTAGGGACAGGAATGGGAGTGTCTTAAATGAGAGTTGCTACATCTCCGGCCGTGACCCCGAATGTCATCATTTGGGTCAATAACACATCAACTGGGATGCTGACAGTCGATTTGGTGGGTAAACTAAGTGACTAGGCCGCGACTCCCCACCAAGCAGGGCTCGGGAGTGGTCCTGGGTCACACAGTGAGATTTGCACAGGGGCCCCGCAGACTTCTGAGCTTCTGGCCTGGCATCCGCGTGCCCCTAGCTTGAGCTCTAGGCTGCTTGGGTCTACCCAGGAACTGAGCTTTGGTGACCTGGAACACATGGAGCGATGTATCTTGGGAGGGAAGAAGTGACCGGGAGTAAAGACCGCTCCCCAGGCTGCCCTGAGCAGGCGAGAAGGAAGGCGAGGTAGCCGCAGTCGCAGGAAGGTCTTGTCCCGCGCCTCGGGACGCATTCTGGCGGCCCCGGCTGCGTGAGGTCTGGGCTATGGCTGCGACGGATTAGGTCTGATCCGATTAGAACCTGGGCCGTCGGCTTCGCCCCCTGCCTGGCGTTGCCAGCGCCCGCCTCGCTCTGGTGAGGACCCGGAGTCCTCCCTGAGACACTTCCCCGCCCCAAACACCCGGCTGGTGCAGGAATCCAAGAGGCTCCCTGCGCCCGGGGTTCGGCTCATTGCCACGGCGCGGGCTAGAGCTGCGGCCCCCTGCGGCCCTTCGGAGCCCCGCCCAGAGCCTGCGGGTGTCTGGG